TCAAGGGAGGTGTCTTGGATCAATCCCATCTTGTCTTTTTTATAAGATGGGGTACTGCCTGAAGAACCCATGGCTGCAACGAGATTTTGAAGACGAGCATCAAATTTTACCATCATTGGTGGTGAGTTGTATAAACGCGCTTTCACCAGACCATACCTGAAGTGTCACCCATCTTCAGAAGCTGATTATGCACTCCGAGAAATTCATTCAGGAGTATGTGGCGAGCATTTGGGAGGAAGAGCTTTAGCTTATAAAATCACGAGGCAGGGGCCTACAATGAAACAGGACGCGATGGAGTTTACACGAAAGTGTGAAAACTGTCAATTGCATTCCAATCTCACCCATATTCCAGCTCTAGAACTTGCATCACTTCAAAGCCGCTGGCCTTTTGCCCAGTGGGGAATTGACTTAATGGGACCCTTCCCTATAGCCACAGGACAATGAAAATTCATCATCATGGCCGTAGATTACTTCACGAAATGGGTGGAAGCAGAACCCTTAGCAAAAATCACTGAAGCAAATGCCAAACAATTCTTATGGAAGAGTATAATTTGTCGCTTCGGTATTCCAGCAATGGTCATCACCGACAACGGAACTCAGTTTACTGGAAAAATCTTTACATCTTTCTATAAAGATTTTCATATTCAACTCGTCCACATGGCTGTCGACCATCCTCAAGCAAATGGGCAAACGGAGGTTGCAAATCGAACAATTCTGAAAGGGCTGAAGACACGCCTAGGGAAAACTGGGGGGCAATGGGCTGAAGAACTCCCAAATATCCTCTGAGCTTACCGCACCACGGCCAGGACTCCTACAGGAGAGACTCCATTTAACCTCTGTTTCGGTACAGAAGCAGTCATACCAGTGAATATTGGAGTTCCAAGCAACAGAGTTCAAACCTTTAACTTCAATAACAACGAGGAGAAACTCAGGACAAATCTAGATCTCCTCCCTGAAGCAAGGGATGAAGCCTCACTCAGGGTCGCTGCATACCATCAGCGGATCACTCCTCACTACAATCGGAGAGTAAAACCTCGAACCATTTCCGTTGGAGACTTAGTTCTTCGAAGCATCGAAGCTGCTGGAAAAGGCCCTCAGCGTAATAAGCTCTCCCCTCTATGGGAGAGTCCTTTCTTGGTGGTAGCTATGGTCAAGCCTGGAACATTCAAACTAAAAGATGCCAACGGAAAAATGTTTCCCCGAACTTGGAATGTGGGCAACCTTCACAAGTAATATCAGATGAAGTTGATGCTATTATCTGTTTGGTGTGATGTCATTCGTAGTGTTTGTCTTGCTCTGTAGCTATGCTTTGTATCTTTTAAGTTTTTCATACGCTCTTTGTATGTTGATTGTAGAAAAATACTTCTTGTTGTATCCCTAAGTTTACTAGGGAATTGTCGTACTGTTTTATATAATATAGTAATGTGATGTTCATCTTATCTCAATACTATCTCTCCTCAAGCTCTTTTTCCCGTGATTCGAGAAATACATAACTAATGCTGTATCTCAATCACTAGGTAACCAATCCCAGGGGGATCTGGTTCGACCTCTTCCATACAGGTTAAAATCATCATGCAAATGCTTTGATTAACAACCTCGGATAGGTCAAGATATCCAAGAAAGATATCTCTCACATTCATATAAGTTAAAGAGACTACTAGAATGATTGAGTCAATCTCATATACTTATGAAAAAGAGACATATTATATATATATATATATATATATATAAAACTCACAAACATCAAGTACATCATTTGAAAACATTATACAAACACACGTACAATCATCACAAATAAAATAAAAGCAATACAGACAACGTCAGAATATTTCTACAGAATCTCAATGTCATCATCGTCCTCCTCCAAATCGAAAATATGCTGCAAATCACTCTCCAATTCTTCACCGTCAGAGTCTGGAGAAGGATCACCAGAAGCCTGGCTCGGAGTCAACCCCTCGATCTCCCCTCCGTTCTTACGCTGCACTGCACGAACGCCCTTCATGAAGCCTTTGATGAAGCCATCTTCCATAAGTTCTGCTTCTAAAGCCTTCACCTCTACGTCATAAAAATGATCGCGAGCTTCCTGAACTTGATCCTCGACAAATATCTTAAAGGCGTAAGATTTTTTAAACTCTTCTATGGCTGCAGACGGTGACAGTTGAGCTACATTCTCCGACAACTTGTTCAGGAGCTTCTTATTCTCAGCCTCAAGGATTTGCATATCTTTCAGTTGTTGATTGTTTGTTGCCTCTGCCTCCACCAACTGTATATACAAATGATCCATCCGTTCATTCTGGGAAGAGGATGAAGCGATCTTGTTCGCCAATTCTTTTCTTCATTGTTCAAGTTGATCCTCTACCGTCTCCATCTCCTTCACTCTGTCGTCGTATTTCTTCTTGTATTCCCCCTGAAGGTATTTGACCTTCACGAATTCATCGTTCCAGTCATTCAAGATTTTGTTCACCTCAAGGTACTATTCAAAAAAGAATCAACAAGTGAAAAGTGTATCCCTGAAAATGTGTATACAAATACAAGGGAAATGGAGAGAGGGTGAACTCACCAACTCCTCGGCTCTTCGACGACCAATGCACTTATATTTCAGAACATCCTCTGGAATGTATATCCTGGACGGAGAAAAGCGAGGACCCTTGCCGGCAACAGCCAAAATTTCGTCTGACTTCTTCTTCTTAGGTACCTCTAAATCTCCCTCGCCCTCAGGTCGCTTGGATTGACTAATTTGGTTTTCCGGAACTTTCACAGATTTCTTCAACATCTGTGCGTGCGTCCTCCCTGCATGAGTTGATAGTCCCACCTTGAATAAATATTCTTCGTATATGCTTCTGCTCAAGCAACACATCTCATAACGGAGGGCATCAATATCAGGAAGCTTCAGTATCCTCAATAAGTCTTCCGGTCCAATGTGAAGGGGGATAGATAACTCCTTCAACTTTCCCCATTTTTCTTGGAGGCCCCAATCGTTCTGCACATAGAAGAAGTCGCTAATCCAGTCTTTAGACGGATCCCTGGTATGAATATCCAGCCACTTAAATCTGAAGGAGACACGACCCTGCGTATCAGTATAGATACGCCCCGTCCGAGCTAGGCAAATCTGGAGACAGCACCACTCCGCGGTCTCTGAAAAATGCAATCAGGCCCATTATGACCGACATAGCCCGATAGGAAAATTGAGACAAACCAATCCACAGATCGTCAGAATATCAATCAATTCTGGAGCTGTCGTAAATCGCAACCCCGCTCGCAAACTGAACTCGTACACTGTCACATATCCCGGGGGAGGAAAGCAGGTGCGATCAGATCTCGCCGGCACCTTCATCACCAGATCATTAGGAAAATGAAATTTTTTCCTAAAAGAGATGAAAGAATCTTCAGTGATGGTGGAGATAACATCATCAGCCTTTGTCGCCTTGGGAATATTCTTCAAACGCTCAGAACGGGTAGTAGGACGATCTTCTTTGGCGAAAGCTTCTTTGGTAGAGGCGCGATCACCCATCTCAACTTTCTTATTAAAGAGAGGTGAGAATCTAAGTAAGAAAGAAATCCCCTAACTTCTGCACAAGAGGAGGGGCGCTAAGTCGAGCAGGAAAAATTTATCACTCGAAAATAGCGGAAAGCCTCAACTATCAGAAAGCCAGAGGGGAAAAAAGGGGAAATCCCCTAACTTCTGCACAAGAGGAGGGGCGCTAAGTCGAGCAGGGAAAATTTCCCACTCGAAAATAGCGGAAAGCCTCAACTGTCTGAAAGTTAGAGGGGGAAAAGGAGGAGGAGAAATCCCCTAACTTCTACGCAAGAGGAGGGGCGCTAAGTCAAGCAGGGAAAATTTCCCACTCGAAAATAGCGGAAAGCCTAAACTATCAGGGAGCCAGAGGGAGAAAAAGAAAAGGTGCAATTTTTTCTAAAGGCCTAGGGGGCCTATTTATTGATTTCTGGAAGAGGAGGAAGTTACTGTCATTTTTAAATTCTAATTTTTTTTTTAATTTTTCGGAACTTTTTTGGAATTTTTTGGGATTTTTTAAGACCCAAAAAAGGCAAAAAATAGTTTTTTCCAGCTAGTGGGGCCCGCTTAAGGCGGTGGCAGCGAACTGCCACCCAAAATCCGCGTGCACAGCACGCAGATCGCGACCCGCAGCACGTGTTGATACGTCGTCAAAAAATTACCCAATTGTATACACTCTTAACTTTTAAAATTCATATCACTTTCCCTATGTGTGTGACACAATCACCAAATTGTATACACTCTTATGTGGCCAGACTCAAGAAATAGAGAATAAAGAAAAATAAAATTACAGACTTTGTTACTTGATATTCCTATTTTTACCCATTCTTGAGCTTTCAGTATCCTTAAGCGGTGTATGTCTTATTTGTAATGTTAGCACTCATAGATAAAAGAAATATCTAAGATATTTAATGAGAAAAGCAATAATTCAATCAATAATGTTTGTCATTATCAAATCACATACTAGGGATCCTCGATTGCAACAAGGCTAGCAAAAATTCATAGCATGTAACATTTAAATAAGTCTCCCATGGAAGTTTTGGCTTCCCAAAATAAATATTGGCTTAATAAATCATTTTTCTCCTCGAATTTTGATGTAGAGCTTCCCATATCCCTTCGCCTTGGTATGGGAGCCTATCTTCTCCTGTTCATTTATTCTTTGATGCTTTCCTTCTCACTATTTTTCTATTGGTGTTATCATTCTTATTTGGAGTAATGGGTGAAAACTTTTGCCTGCACTAGAATGATTCATCGAGCTGACCTTAAATTGGTTTAAGAGGTTACTGATGATAATTATGACAATGGTGGTGTTATTGTCAAGATAATTGAATTTTTTTTCATTCATTACATGAAATATTTGTGGTTAAGATTTATCAGCCTCCACACTCATTTATTCTTGTCCATTACTTTTAGTTTGTTTTACTGGTGAGATTCATTAAAAAAAAAAAAATACAAATTAGGCTCTCATTTTCATCTCTGCTGCCAGAGTGGAAAACCTGAGGAAGTTTAAGAGCAATGAAGGGGACTGCCCTACCTTGGTGTGCACTGATTTGGCGGCTAGGGGATTGGATCTAGATGTTGACCATGTAATTATGTTTGATTTCCCAAAGAATTCTGTGCGTGCTACCTTCTTTTCTTATTTATTGAACTTGTTTCTATTATATCTTTTGTTGAACCTGTGCTTGAATTACATCCTATATGATTTTAGATTGATTACCTTCACCGAACAGGAAGGACTGCGCGTATGGGTGCCAAAGGTATGCTTGGTTCATGCCCTTTTAAATTGGATGCTAGTGCGTGCAAGTTGTTTGTTCATTCAGTTTTCATATATGCCACTGGTTTTGTTTGTTCTGTTTTATCCACATGTTGCTTTAAGTACGTTTTATAAGAATAATGTATGGGATCACATTAGGACTGGGAGAGCTTGTCACATTTCCCTGCACAACAACATATAGTGATAAAATATAAATTATATCATTAGTCGATTTACAATATTGCTTAGGTAAAGTTAGTCGATGTTTAAATTGTTGTCTTACTTTTTTAGTTTTAAGTATGCTTCCACTATAGGTTAAGTTTATAGCACTCTGCTTATAATTTATATATTTTCTCTACGTTTTAATTATGTGGATTTGGTTACGAGCTGTTGCAAAAGTTTAATACCTAGTGCAAATAATATTCTCAAAATTCATTCATCTTGCTGCCATATTCTCTGATATTTGTAAAAGATATAATTGAAATATAATTAAATGCCAATAATCAGTGTAGATTATCATAATTAAAAAGTGATCATCATCATAACGTTATACTAATTATTTCGGATAGACATTTTGAAAATTTTTTCCATTCGTTTCCGGTGAGTGCTATCTAAAGTGTTGATACGTCGTCAAAAAATTACCTTGATCGGGCGCGAATCTCGATGCAAAATCAAGTTGGAAACTTCAAAAATTAATTCGGAGACCATCCGAACTCTGATTTCAGCAAACTTACAGTCAAACTGAGCGTCTCGAAAATACGAGCCCGACGACGCCAAATTCGACTCAATCCGAGCCCAAATGAGCCCAAATCAAAGACCCGAAGCGCTGTTGGAAGGTTCAAACAACAATTCGGGTTACCAAGCGGTTTCCAAACATTACATGCTTACAGTCGAATCGAGCGGCTCGACGAGACAAATCCAACGAGCCCAAGATTACTGAATTCCGACATCACTAAGACATTCAAATGTCCATCAAACGGTTCATGATCAAGGGATTCAACATCGACCGTCCATCCAACTACTCTCAACTTGCCCTTGATCCTCCACCTTTTTATGGGCCATGCCATTCCCAAAATCTATAAATAGAGCTCCCTCTCCTCTTGGGAGGAGACCCCTGAGCCTAAGGAAAAAAGAGAGAGATCGGAGATCGCTCTTGCTTCGTAGCCTTCTCGACCACCGTCGGAGTTTCGCCGGACCACCGCCAGGGTTCCATCGAACCACCACTGCTCGTCTAACGCCGGACTTCCGCTGGGCCACCACCTGACGCCCTGTGCTCCGCCGGACCATCGCCTAACGCCGTTGCTCATCTGGACCACCACTTGATGCCCTGTGCCCATCAGACCACCGCCTAATGCCGTTGCTCTGCCGGACCACCACCTGACGCCCTGTGCTTCGCCGGACCACCGCCTGATGCCGTTGCTTCACCGGACCACCACTGGAGATCCTCACCTCTACCGGACCACCACTTGAGGCCCTCACCTCCGCCGGACCACCGCCTGATGCCGTTGCTCTGCCGGACCACCACCTAAGGCTCAGACTTCTGCCGAACCGTCACTTGAGGCCTTGTGCTCCACCAGGACACCACCTGAGGCCCGGACTTCTGCTGGACCACCACATGAGGCCTGAACTTCTGTCAGACCACCAATTGAGGCACTATGCTCCATCAGAACATCACCTGAGGCCCAGACTTTCGCCGGACAACTACTTGAGGCCTTAAGCTCCACCAGGCCACCACTTGATGCCAGAGTTCTCCCAGAATACTGCCGACTATAGTCCATTCGACCTCCATCACTAGACAACGGTCTTTCTGACCCTGGTCTCCTACTGACTACGGTCTTTCTGACCTCCGTCACCTACTATGGTCCATCCGACCTCCATCCTTAGACAAAGGTCTTTCCGACCCTGGTCTCCTACCGACTACGGTCCATCCGACCTCCATCACTAGACAACGGTCTTTCTGACCCTGGTCTCTTACCGACTAAGGTCTTTCTGACCTCTATCGCTTACTATGGTCCATCCGACATCCATCATTAGACAATGGTCTTTCTGACCCCTATCTCTTACCGACTACGGTCCTTCCTACCTCCATCAGCACATAACGGTCTTTCAGATCACAGTCTCCTACCGACTATGGTCCTTCTGACCTCCATCGCCTACTATGGTCCTTTTGACCTCCATCAACACACAACGGTCTTTCTGACCCCGGTCTCCTGCTTTACCTTTGATTCGGGACACACGTGGCGTTTGCCCCCTCCCAATCAAGGAAAAGTCAATCCTAGGAGGATTCTCTCGACCTCTTCCACACAGGTTAACATCATCGAGCAAATGCTCTGACATACAACCTCGGATAGGTCCTACATCCTTGGTGGATTCTCTCGACCTCTTCCACACAGGTTAAATGTCATCGAGCAAAGACTCTGACATATAACCTCGGATAGGTCCTACATCCTTGATGGATTCTCTCGATCTCTTCCACACAGGTTAACGTCATCGAGCAATGCTCCGACATACAACCTCGGATAGGTCCTACATCCTTGGTGGATTCTCTCGACCTCTTCCACACAGGTTAACATCATCCAGCAAATGCTCTGACATAAAATCTAGGATAGGTCCTACATCTTTAGTGGATTCTTTTGACCTTTTCCACACAGGTTAAATGTCATCGAGAAAAGACTCTGACATATAACTCGGATAAGTTCTACATCCTTGATGGATTCTCTCAACTTCTTCCACACAGGTTAACGTCATCGAGCAATGCTCTGACATACAACCTCGGTTAGGTCCTACATCTTTGGTGGATTCTCTCGACCTATTCCACACAGGTTAAATGTCATCGAGCAAAGACTCTGACATGCAACCTCGGATAGGTCTTACATCCTTGGTGGATTCTCTTGACCTCTTTCACACAGGTTAACGTCATCGAGCAATGCTCTGACATACAACCTCGGATAGGTCCTACATCCTTGGTGGATTCTCTCGACCTCTTCTACACAGGTTAAACGTTATCGAGCAAAGACTCTGGCATACAATCTCAGATAGGTCTTACATCCTTGGTGGATTCTCTCGACCTCTTCCACACAGGCTAACGTCTTCGAGCAAAGGCTCTGACATACAACCTCGGATAGGTCTTACATCATTGGTGGATCCAATATAGATTAACATCATCTAGCAAAGTCTCTGACATACAACCTCAGATAGATCATACATCCTTAGTAAACGTCGCCAGAATGCCGTCAATGGACTTCCATCGAACTTCTCCACAAAGTTAAATTTCTACCTGATGTTGAATTTCCTCATGCCGCTGAACTTTTTCCTTGCAGGACTTTCGTCAGAATTCTACTAGACTTCGGACTTCTGCCTGTCGTCGGTTTACTACATGTTATCGTACTTCTATCCGTCGATGGACTTTCGTTGGTCTTCTACCCGACGTCGGACTTTTGCTTGTCGTTGGACTACTACCCATCGTCGGACTTTTGCTCGTCATTGGACTTCTACTCGTCATCGGACTTATGCCCGTCGACGGACTTTCACCGGTCTTCTGCCCGAGGCTGTACTTTTGCCCAACATCGGACTCTTGCCCGTCATCAAACTTTCATCGGGTTTCTACCCATTGTCAGACTTCTGTCCAACGTCAAGCTTCTTCCCGTTACTGGAATTTTGCCTAGCAGAAGTTTCATCAGACTTTTGCCCGACGCAGAGCTTCCTCTCATCGTTGGACTTCTACATGAAACCTGAATTCTCCCTGTTGTCAGACTTTTGTTGGGATTCTGCCCAACGCAAAGCTTCTTGCCGACGTCGGACTTCTGCCCGCCGTCGGTGTTCTGCCGGTCGATGTACTTTCGTAGGTCTTCTACCCGAAGCAGTACTTCTACCCGACATAGGACTTCTGCCTACTGTCGGCCGAATACCCGTCGCCGGAGTTCTGTCCGTCGATGGACTTTCGTCGGTCTTCTACCCGATGTTGTACTTCTAACCGACATCGGACTTCTGCCTGCCGTCGGACTACTATGTGTCATTGTACTATTGCCCGTCGATGGACTTTCATCGGTCTTCTACTCGGCTCAGTACTTCTAGCCGACGTCGGACTTTTGCCTACCATCAGACTAATACCCATCGTCGGACTTCTGTTCATCGATGGACTTTCGTCGGTCTTCTACTTGACGTTTTTCTTTTATCCGACATCGGATTTCTGCCTGCCGTCAGACTACTACCTGTCATTGGAATACTGCCTGTCGATGGATTTTCATCGGTCATCTACCCGGTTAGTTCTTCTACCCGACGTTAGACTTCTGCCTGCCATCGGACTACTATTCGTCGTCGGACTCCTGTCTGTTGAAGGACTTTTGTTGGTCTTTTACCCGATGCTGTACTTCTACTCGATGCCAGATCATCTGCCCTCGCTCCTTTGTCAGGCCTCCGCCCACCGTCAGGCGGGACGACATGATTTTTCCTGACCGCAGAATCTCTAGAAGGAAAGTGGTCGCCCGACATTACTCCAGTACAGGGAGGGGCCCTGCTGTTGGACAATGGATACCATCTATCCAAGGGCAGAGGAAGACCTCCCGTATTGAAAAGAGCGCCGAAGGGAATAAGGGAGGCAGGTCGGCCAACCGGCCGGTTCGGCCGCCTACACCTATCCCGGCCCAATTTTTGGCCTGGACGGTCCAAATCGAACGTTTTTGGGGTCCCCGGAAACATTTTTCGACGTTCCGGACTCAATTTTGACACTTTCGGGACTCAACGAGACCTCTATGCTCAAATTTGAGCATGTATATGAATTTTAGAATGCAATTTTTTGCGTTTAGACTAATGTAAAATACTATGACACATATTTTAGGACTTCTAGGGCTTTAACGTCCGAAAATAGGGGGACATCTGATACGTCCTGAAAAAATTACCTTGATCGGGCGCGAATCTCGGTGCAAAATCAAGTTGGAAACTTCAAAAATTAATTCGGAGACCATCCGAACTCTTATTTCAGCAAACTTACAGTCAAACTGAGCG